ACGAAAACATTTAACAAACAAAACATAAAGAAAAACCCATGAGCACATGGAGTTGGTAGATAATTAAGCGAGGCACCACACCAAACTCAGGCATATAATGGTATCACGAATTCATTGGCCTTGCCTCCCATTGTCTTTCACAAAAACCAAATTATTGAGAAGAGCCATAACCTTTTTGTTCTTATCAAATAAACCTAAATCAATTAATTATTTTTGAAAAACCAAAAAAAAAAAAAGAAGAAGAAGAAATTACAGATATAGCCAGAGAGAGAGAGACGGAGGATTAAGACCCTCAAATCCCAAATGTGAATAAATGGGTTGGAACTCGAAAGTCTAACACATAAACCACAAAAGGAAAAGGATGATGGCATGGGTGGAGAAAAAGGAAGTCCATGGTGGGTTTTCTTGTAATCTTGTTCTTGTTTTATGCTGTAATCTTGGGCTCAGAGAGCTGGAGAGATGGGTCAGCCTCATTAGGGAGGTTCTTGCCCCAGAACCAGTGCTTCTTCCATACTAAGTGCATCTCTTCAATGGGCACATTCTTGGTTTTAGGAAGGAAGATGTAGATGAAGATGGTCATGATGAGAACCCAGCCTTCGAAGAAGAAGAAGAGGCCGTCTTTGAGGTGGCAGAGGAGCGTGAGGAAGACCTGGGCAATCACGAAGGTGAAGAGAAGGTTAACGGAGACTTTGATACTCTGGCCGGCAGAGCGGATCTCGAGGGGGAAGATCTCAGAGGGCACGAGCCACCTGAGTGGTCCCCATGACCAGGCGAAGGCGGCGACGTAGGTGCCGCTGAGGAAGACCACGACGTCGGCCTGGCCCTTGGCGAGGCTCCCGGTGCCGGAGACCCCAAAGACCTCGCCGATCGTGACACCGATGACGATCGGCCACGCAAAAACCAACACATTTTTACTGATTGATATCTCCATTAATTTGATTTTCACAACAATTCGAAATACTTAACATCCTCCTCAAACCGCTTGGGTTTCGGGGATACTGACCTGACTGATGAACATCTGGACACCGCCCTCGAGAAACAGGATCCTTCTGCCATACCTATCGACTGTCACAATAGACACAACGGTGGCGATCGTATTGACGAAACCACTGATGACAGCAGACATGAGCGACACATCATCTGGCAAATCCTATGGTCTTGAAGAGCACAGGCGCATAAAACATGATGACATTGATGCCAGTCAATTGCTAGAAGAAGGGGATGGCAATGGACATCACCAATTGGGACCTGTATTTCTTCTGCAATATGTTCTTCCATGGGTGCGTAACTTTCTTCGAAGCCTCACTAGCCTCAACCAAGTTCTTGTACTCCTCCTCAATGCTATCAGGGCCTCTGATTTTCCTGAGCATGTTCTTGGCCTTCTCGGGCTGGTTACGCTCTCGATCAGGGAGTTGGGGGTGTCTGGAAGGAAAATGGCACCGACAGTCATGATGTATATTAAAAAATTTAAATTAGGCTTTTTCCTTTTAGTTAAATTTCTATTAGAATAGAAATTCAAATTAGTTTGAATTTATCCATAATTTCTATTTAAGTTTGAACTTATTCATACTACTAGAATAGAAATTCAAATTAGCGTTTTTTCCTGATAAGGAAATTAGATTTTCTTTTCATGTTGACTTGGGGTGAATTTATGTTCTTTTATCCAAAAATATCTATTCTCTTATCTTTAAATTATCCTTTTTCCTTATAGACAAATCAGATCCCCTTTTGCTAAAATTTTAAAGTTAGCTTGGGATAATTTATAACTTTTTATCTAAATCTCTATTTTCAAATTTTTATTTTTTATTTTTAACTTCCTTAATATTCATATATTATTCTATTTCTCTATTTCGTGTCTAATAGTCAAGATTAATTATGACATCCAGCACCTAAGATAAATGTTCGCATTATATACTTTCCCATATTTAAATCTAAACTTGAATTATCCTTTTAAACCTTATAGATACGTTTTGTTATCCATTTATCTAGTCCTTATTTTAGCTATTTCCTTGGTGTTAATCGTATTGAACGCGCTGTAACCTATATCTTTATCTTGTGATTTGAGCACGAAGAGTTTTATCGTGTTGGGAAATCTTTATCTTGTGATTTGAGCAAGAAGTTTATTGGGTTGGGAAACATGAGAAGTAACTATATAAAGAGGTGTCTTCTTCAAAGAGTAGATCGATGTTTGTTTTTGCTGAATGCCGAGAGAAAGATTGAGGAAGAGCTAGAGAGAGAGAGAGGAGAGTTTCTGGTTAGAGAGAGAGAGAGAAAGAAGAAGATTGAGGAAGAGCTAAAGAGAGAGAGAGAGAGAGAGAAAGAAGAGAGCCAGTGGCTGGAGGTATTGT